AGCCAATTTCAAACAGCCTCACCCCCTGCCTCAGGATGACACTGCACATTCTCCATTTGCTAGATTTTGAGGGGCCCAGTGTCCTCCATATAGATCTTCCAGCACCTGCAAATCAGAGCAAACCAGGTCCCCTCGACATAAAAGAGGAAGCTTAGAGATGGACACCAACACTGGTGGCTCCAGAGAGAAAAGCCACGCCAGATGGTCAGAACCTGCTCCTCTTTACTGGCTGTGTGCTGGATTGGACAATGCTTACCTAAGGGGTCCTGAGTGGACAGGGCTTACCTCTTCACATGCTCAGACTGAGCCTAGTGAGTCTTCTGAGTGACAGGAGGTGACATTAAATGCAGAAATGAATGAGGTCACGATGGCAGGCCCTTGCCTGTAGCTTTTTTCTTTTGAGGTGCTGGGAATTGAAATCCATATCCTCAGGCTGCAGCTAATTGAAGGTAAGGTTTCCTTAGAGATGTCGGAAATAGCCCAGCCAGGAGGACATTTGTATTTAACCTTGCATATAAGGCCTTTCAATTTCTGGATTATATAAGTCTTATATTATTCATGGATGGAAATAACAAAGTGAAAATCCTGCAAAATTTCATTAACTTCCCTGCTCTCTTCTCTTATTAGGAAAGAGATTGACCTGGGAAGAATCACCCTAAGGCAACAATAATCAATACTAATATGTGGTGCAAGGGTAATTAAAAAAATTTCTAGTGTTCACATAAAACAATAAACAGTAGAAATTGAGTTTAATAACATTATCCAACATACCCATTATGTAAATATTACCAATATGTGACCATAATTACTAATGAAGTATTTTGCAATTTTGCAAAATTTTGCAATTTGGCCTTAGACCTAATGGCCAGTCCATTACATTTTTTTCTTCCTATGATGAAAGCCCCTCAATAAGCAAGGGGTTTGGAATCAAGATGAATTTTGTTGCGGGGCTGGGATTGAGGCTCAGCGGTAGAGCGCTCTCCTAGCATGGGTGGGACCCGGGTTCAATCCTCAGCACCACATTAAAAAAAAATAAATAAAGGCATTGTGTTGGGACCATCTACACCTGAAAAATAAATATTAAGAAAAAAGATGAATTTTGTTGCCATGCATGTGGCACACACCTGTGATCCCAGCAGCTTGGGAGGCTGAGGTAGGATTGCAAGTTCAAAACTGAGCAACTTAGCAAGACCCTGTTAACTAAATAAAATATTAAAATGTGCTAAGGATGTGCCTCAGTAGTTAAGTGCCCCTGGTTTCAATCCCAGTATAAAAACAAACAAACAAATTGCATCTATTTTGAAACCCAAATACCTCCACTACACCACACCACATGACTCATACAACTTTTCTTATTAATTTAGGAGTTGTTAGTGATATTTGTTCAAAAAAGCAGGATTTCTATGTATGAGTGTGTACATACTACTATGTAATATATACACTTATATATTGTACACTATATTTACATATACATATATATTGCTTGCTGTCTGATATATGGAATGGAATGGATCATGGCCAGCATTTGGTGGGAAAATGTCTACTTCTGGAAACTTTCTGGGTAAACTCCCTGCTCTCACACAGGGCAATATCTCTCTTTTGAACCTGAGAAGAAATATTGATAAAGAACTGTATTCCTCACCTAAAAGAAATGCACTCAATAGACTTACCTACACCTATGTGTGTGTGTGTGTGTGTGTGTGTGTATACAATATGTATATATTATATATAATAAGCACATATGTAATATCTATATATAATATATAAACAAAACCTTTTCATGTACCTGATTTGTTATGGGGCTCCCTTTCCAGGACCCAGGAAAGTCCTGGTTCAATTTATAACAAGGACTGACACCAGCCAGAAGTATTCTCAACCCTCCTCTACAATCAGCAAATAATAAAGGTTTCTATGTCATTTTCTAAACATAGCTAAACAGTAATAGAGGCATAAAGCAGAAAAATATTTTGTCAGGAACACAAAGTAAAAAGACAAGGAGAAACACAATGAAGTTCTGCCACCTTGAACACAAGAGAATTGGAATCTGGAATTCAGACAAAGAAGATTCAATCTTTTATATTTGGGAATGTGGATGACATGGTTGTCTACAGTGAAAAGATTAGTATAACCTTTTGAAAGAAAATTCATGTGAGTGGCAAATAATGGTTAAACAATTAGTATCTGCAAAGTGGTTTGTTAGATGTGGGCCACAGCACATACATGTATTAGTAGCTCCATGAAGAGCATTATTCATCTGTGTCCCCTAAAATCATTCCCATTGTAAAGATGAGAAAACACAGGTTTCTGGACATTAAATGGAAACTCGGTAGCACACAGAGAACTACCCAGAGACAGAACTGTATGAAATCCCTTCAAAGCTCCTCAAAGGCTGGTTTGCTCCTGATATAGCGGATGTCAGTCTGGAGAAATATTTTCTCTCCATTTTGAAGAGAGTGCCTAGAAAAGACATCCCAGGAGCAACACAAGTGTTTTTCCTTCTTTAAGGTTAAGGAACTCTTCCCCAGCACAACTATCAACCCAGATTCCTTATGAGGGTAAATGCTTAGAGCTTTCAGGGTGCAAAAAAGCACACCACAGGACCGGAGTCTGACTCAGAAAAGAAATACATCTAAAAGGCTTATAGCAAATTGAAAAAAAAATGATGTAACTATTTCAAAAAATAAATATGTCTCAGCACATCATTCAGTAAACAATAAATTATGGATGAATATTTCTAGGATTTGCCAAATCTTATCGCATATGATTTTGTAGTAAATTCCAAAATCTAGATAATAAAATGCATGATTCACTGTCAAAAACATTCAAGAAGAAAAAAAAAAAAAAACCTTCAAGGAAGAGGAGTGTATGTTTTAGTAAATGTGTCATTCAATAATTTATTTACTTACTAAATAATTTTGAGGAAATATATTCATTTTCCTGCAGCCATAGGGAAGGGAGATTTTCCTTATTTATTTTTCCTGTTAGAATTTCCAAATATAAGGGCTGGGTATAGCTCAGTTGGTCGAGTACTTGCCTTGCATGCACAAAGCCCTGGGTTCAACCCTCAGCACCACAAAAAAATAAAAATAAAAATAAAAGAAAGAAAAAGAATAGAATTTCTAAAGATAAGGTCTAGAATTTCATTTGAAATAACCTCTAAATATAAAGCAGACAAGAAACATACAATATATACTCAGGGGAAGAAAAAAGGTGATTTTTTTTTTAATAATTAAAAGTAAAATTATTGGCTTTTTCTTGAAATGAAACTCTATCTCCCTTGTTGGATTTATTTTCTTATTTTTGAATCCAGAAACCACAAAAGAAATACAGGGAAGAGCCTTGAACTGCCAATTCATACAGGAGATAATCTAAGTATTCAATAATCATAAAAAATTCAACATCTTTAAAAATTAGAGAAATATAAAATAAAATCCCATCACAGACAAAATTAAATATTGATGAAGATATAAAACAAATGAATACTCATAAACTCAAGTGCAGTTTAAGTTATTATTACCTGCTTGTGGAAACTGTATGCTATTGAATATATACAATACTCCCCATCATAGACTTACTGAAATTACAGCATATGTGACCATGATAATATGTAAGAACACAACAGTACTCATCTAAACACTTGAAACCCAGGGGGATGTTCAAGAGAATGCACATCTTGGAACAGATAAATAATAACCTGTGGAAAAATAGTCACTAGGGGCCAGTCACATTTTTGGTCATAGTTATCCAGTTTAAAAAATAGTGTAAAACACCATGTTTAAGTTTTATATATGCATGTGTATTTCACATGTACACATGTTTAGAAAGAAAATATGTGGAACTTATGAGAAAACAAAAGTCATCAGAACTACATCAGAGACTCAATTACACATCCATGTGTACATGATAAAACTCATCATTATAAAAATGACAATTTTTCCCAAATTAACCTACAAAATATATTCCCACCAAAATTGCTATTACATATATGAATATATCACAGTAAATTCTAGCTTTATGTGTATCTATAAAGCAGTAATTTTAAAAACTATAAATAAATGGAAGAGAGGGAAGGGAAGAGGGAAAGGGGAATCACTGGGTAATGAAGTGGAGCAAATTATATTCCATACTTGTATGATTATGTCAAAATGAACCCAATATTATGTATAGCTATAATGCCATAACAAAAAAATTCAACATTCTTTACTTTTAATGAAATAAGTAACCAAGGCATGAAGTTCTAAAATTCATCCACAAAGTTATATATAACTTTAGCCAAGAAACTTTTCAATTATAAGAGCAAAATAAGTACTTATCATTACCTGACATGTATATTATAAAACTATACTATATTACCATAATATCAAGGAATCACAATTTAGCAAAATCAATATATGAATCCATATGTATGTAAAAAATATATACTTAATTGCAATAGAAAAGTCTAGATAAATCAAACCTAACAAAGCCAATCTCAGCAACTTAGCTAAACCTGTCTCAATAAACAAATACGTAAATAGTACCAGGGATATATATAGCTCAGTAGTATAATATCCCGCAGTTCAACTTTCAGTAACTAAAAAAAAAAAAAAAAATGAAAACGAGCTAGCTCAGGAAGAAGTGAGGTCCCTATAGACCACAGCTTCTCTCCTGCAGGAAAAGAACATGTGGAGATGTGATCATGATGATCGTCCCACCTGTCACCGCGCTCGTCAAGAGTCTGGGCTGCAGGCGCACACCTGCCAGATAGTATTTGACGCAGGGGCTGAGGAGGCCCTGCGAGGATAAGAAAGGTGGCTATGGATCTCTGCCACTGACGTCTCCCCACCTAGATGGCCGGTAGGACTGGGGCATACTGCCCCAGCGGAGGGCTCAGCCTGCAGGCTCCAGAGACTGCCGGACTCCCGTCTGCGAGCTCCCGGTCCTGCCACAGCCGGTGCCCAGGTTCCCAGCCTCCCTCCCCAGCCTCCCTGCCCAGGCTCCAGGTGCCACTGCACACTCACCATTTCCTGGTGCTCAGGAGCCAGGCTGCTCCCTAAGGACCTTCAGAACCTGCACAGCAGAGCCACCCGGACTCCGAAGCTCGAGAGTGAAACTTGGAGACAAATGGCAGAAATGGCGGACTCCAGGGGGGGGGAAGGACCCGATTGCGGAAGCCCGCCCCCTCCTCGCTGGCTGCACACCGGATTGGACAGTTCTCACTAAGTGCTCGTGAATGGACAGGGCTTCAGACTGTGCCCCTGAGTCTGAGCCCGTAACCTTGTTTTTGAGTAACAGGAAATAATACCCAATCCAGTCATGCATAAGGCCAGAATGACAGATTCTTGGTTGCAGGTTCTTTTTTTCTTTTTTCTTTTGAGGTCTGGTAATTACACCTCAGAGCCTCAGGCTGATGCTATTTTATGGCAAGATTTCCTTCCAAAAGTAGGATCTAGACCAACCAGCAGAACATTTGCATCTAACCTTGCGTATAAGGTCATTTCAGTTTACGGATTATATATGCCTGTATATTATTCATGAATGAAAATAATGCAATGACAATTACTATAAAATTTCATTTAACTTTTCTGGCCTCTGTTCTTGTTAGGAGACAGATTGAAATTTGAACTGGGGAGCAACCCCCAAAACAACAATGTCCAATGAAAACAACACGTAAGGCACAAGGGTAATTTAAATATTTCTAGTATTCACATTAATAATGTTAAAAGTGACAGTTGAAATTGATATTAATAACATAATTCAGAATATTATCTTTCTGTGACTAAGAATACTACTAATGAAGTATGTGTGCTTTTGGAACTACATCCTCAAGTTTGACTCGCTCCATCATATCTCAGTTCACAGGAACCACATTCCAGATTTGAGCGCTATGGATCCCCTAATATCAGGGACTTTAAGGGCATGGTCTATCTCTTTATATGCTAGAGCTGAGCAATACAGTTTCTCACTAATATTTCTCCTCAAGCCCCAAAATTAGGAGAAACAGTGCCCTGAGTGGGAGCAGGAAGCTCCAACCAGGAAGTGTCCAAAAGTAGATCACTCTTTCCCACATCATACTGGTCTCAGGTTCTTTCCCATTGTAGGTATTGGACAGCAAGAAAAGGAAGATGGGGGCTGGGATTGTGGCTTAGCGGTAGGGCGCTAGCCTAGCACGGGCAGGACCCAAGTTCCATCCTCAGCACCACATAGAAATAAAGGCATTGTGTTGTGTCCATCTACACCTTAAAAAAAATAAATAATTTTTTTTTAAAAAAAAATGAAAAGGAAGATGGGATCCCAGGAGGTTAGAAACACATAGGCTGTAATCTTCAGCAGTCTTTACTGTTTAAATACATCAAATGCAAACATATTTGGCAATTTGGGTTTATACCCAATGGCCAGGCTGTATTATATGTTTTCTCTTGTGGACAGACTCTCACAACTAATAATCAGGTGGGCCAGGACACAGGATGAGCTGTGTCTGATTCCAAAACTGAAACACCTCCACCAGATCACAAGACTCTTGCAACATTCCTTATTCTCATCAGACTTGGAAAGTGACTTATTCAAAAGAGCAGGCTTTGTGATATATGTATATAAAATGCAGTCCTGCGTATTACAGAGTGCCACACAAACAGAACATTCTCATAGATCTCTGTTATCTTGGGGCTCCCATTCCAGGCTCCATGGAATCATGTTTCAGTTTACCTCAAAGGCAAACACCAGCTAGAATTTAATCAACACCCTTTACAAATGAAAATATAGGTTGATATCGAATATATGTAAGTTTAATCAGGGTTTATAAATTATAGAATAGGCTGATTTAGAGGGATGTAAAGGACTACTAAGCTCTATGTTTTCAAAGCAAAGAGGGACAAGGCTATAGAGGCCGGCAGCACATTTCTTTTGTTGATGGCATAGAGCAAAAGGAGGCCAAGGATGACATATAATTATTGGCAGTACACGAAACATCAGAGAATTGGAATCTGGAGGTCAGACCAGGAAGATTTGAAATACTGTATTGGGGCATGTGAAGGACATGAGTGCCCATGATAAATAGGTTATAAACTTCTGAAAGAAAGTTGATATGGTGTCAGAGAAGGTTAAGCAGTATCTACACAACAACTTCAAGGTGTTTCATCAGCTGTGGAAGCACAGCACCTACTTATATCAGAGCCCCCACGAAGCCATTATCCACCTGAGACCTCTAAAACATCCAATTGTAGAGATGAGAGAACACAGGCTTCTAGGTATCAAATGGCTTCTCAGCAAGCAGCTTGTGTCAGAACTGAGAGCTGCCCAGAGAAGAACTGCATGAAATTCTTTCTAAGCTTCTCAGTCTGGTTTGCTACTGATATAGGGGATGTTGCAGGTTTGTCTGGTTTGTCACCTCTCAAATAGAGAAATATTATTGCTTCTCCATTTTAAAGAGCAACCCTAGTGAGGATGTCCTAGGAGGTCCCTTTGAGTTCAGAGACTATGGTTTATCCTGCTTTCATGTTAAGGGAAGACTTTAGTAACAGAGGTATGTCAACCCAGGTTCCTCACTGGGGCAATTACAAGAGAGCACAAAACAGGGCCCAAAATATGGGTTGGACTCAGGGAAGAAAAAAATCTAAATGGTTGATAAATCAACTGAAAGGTAACTCAAGTTTTCAGTTGGGAAATTGGAAAAAAAATAGAACAGTGTGAATTTAGTTGCCACATGGAAAAGAGATTAATCAAGAAAAATAATTTTTAAAATGCCAACACCCAGAGAAGCCTGGCTGCAGAGAAGCAGCGACAACCAGAGATTTCTTGTGGCAATGTAACTTCAGCAGCTCTTCTGTGCTGTAATCTGATTGTAGCTGTTAAAATGTCACATGTGCATATCCCTTCACTCAGTATTCCCTTTCCAGAAAGTCTGCCTTCAGCAGGAGACTAGTTTATGTTCTTAGCTGAATTGTGTCCCCTCCCCAAGTCTCATATATTGTGGTTCCAAATACCTAGCGCCTCAGACTGTGAATCTATTTAAATATATAATTTTTAAAGACATAATTAATGTTAATCTAGTTAATTGGTATAAAGTCTAATCCAATTAAATTTTTCTCCTTATGAAAAGCAACAATAAGGACACAGAGAAGCACAGAAAAATTTCATGCAAACTTAGAGACAGAAGATAGCAATAGACATGTCACAGAGTGGAGTCAAAGGCAATCATTCCAGCAGACACCTTGATATGGAGACTATGGAATTAGCTCAAATAAATTTCTGTTTCACCTCATTTGTTACATTGCCATGACAGACTAGTGGTACTGATACAATCCACTAGGACATGTATACTCTGTCCCTGCAGCTTGGCTGAATGAAGTAACAATTGAATCACATCACATTCCACCAGCATGGAAAGGCTAAACTGCTGCAAGAAATAACATTTTTTACTGCAGTATTATGAAGGCTTGTGAGAACATACTCCTTATCTTATGGGGCCATAGAGAATTGTTTTGTGGTATATTATATGAAAAAACTTGTCTTACCTCATTTGTTTGTGAAACTCTCTTCTTTGTGTCAATACTTCCCCGGTAAAGGAGTTAGTTTTTAAGCCTTGTAAAAGAAGTAGAAGTATAGTGATGACTGGTACATGGGCTACCTGGGGCAGGTAGCTAAAACAAAAACAGTAGCATCAGAAAAGAAATATTTAGTGCACAGTAAACATTGAAAATGATGTGGAAATAGTTTCTCTGTTATTTCCACAAGTATGTAATCTAGAGATTTACACCTATTAGGTTGCCAAGGGAAGTAACACAGTCTAGATTTCTTTGGGAATTGGAATGTAAGTCTTTCAAGTGGTAAATTCCTGGTATAGTGTTTAGGGGAGTCTCCATATTTGGTATTTGTCCTGGACCTATCTTGGCTATCTCCAATTCCTGGCTGTGGAGATCCTTCTCCAGAAGTCTAATCTAAGCTTAGAACAGAGATATTGTTGGTTGTGTAGTGCCCTTGTTCTTTCCCTAAGATACAAAATGAATAAATAGCTCCAAGATGATCTGCATAGAAGTCTGCAAAGAGATTGTTTTACATGTAGGAAGATAATTAGCTCTGGTCATCCTGGCTGCCTCCACAGGGAGCACTCCCATTGAAATTTTTTATACCTAGATTAGCTATATACGAATATAGGACTCCATACATTGGCGACACTGAGTTCCATTACCTCATTCCATTACAATGCTAGAGGAGCAGCCAGAGTAAAGTATTCACTTGTGAATATTCACCCTGATTATAAACTCTTTGAGGTCAGGGTCAGTGCTCAATGCCTAAGCAACACTGACACATTCAGTCAAGTTCTAGCCTGAATATTCAGGGGAAAAACCATCAAAATGATTTGGATTCTGTAAAATTCAGTGCCATTCTTCTTGAATTTCACCTTCCGTGAGGCAAGGAAGGCTAGGTACACCTGGATGAGCTTCCAGGCCTGAGTTCCCAGTGACAGTGAGGTAGGACATGCACGGCAGAGTTGGGTTCCCAGGCAGCTCTGAGGCTCTGAGTGGGGCAGGGACTATAATTGGGTTATATCTTTCTATATTTCTACATTGCCCCACATGCTCATTAATACCACCACAGTTGTATAGGCTTCAGGCATTTTTCTCAAGAAATACAGCATCAAATAGCACAATAGTAATCTCATCATACGTGCAATTTACTATTTTTTACATTTATTTATTTTAAAAAAATATTTTTTTAGTTGTTGATGGACTTTATTGTCTTTATTTTTATGTGGTGCTGAAGATGGAACCCAGTGCCTCATGCATGCTAGGCGAGCACGCTACCATTGAGCCACAATCCCAGCCCCAATTTTTTTTACATTTAGCATTACCCGAGTTACTGAAACCATCCATATTTTTGAACCATTGTTCTTAAGTCTGCAAATGTTGTAGAACAGATGTACCATGGTTGATCCAGCCATCTTGTTCCTTTTTCAATATTTGGGTTCCTCCTAGTTTTTAGCTATCATAAAAATAATCTATAAAATATGAAGAACTTACCCAAAATAGTAAAACCAAAGAGTGAGGGTGGAGGAAGTATTTTTGGTTGAGGGAGGATTTCTGTTCTCACCCATCATTATCCCACAAGACCAGCCTTCCTTGGAATTCTGTTTCTTTGGTACATCCTC